CAAGCGTAGCTTAGACCAGGGAAACAACAGTGGCGAGAGACAAAGTGAGACACGGTCAGATTGGAGGTACCCTGGACATGAAGAGAACACCATTTCCTGGTTGGTTAGTTGCAGGGTGTGAGAAAAAGGAGATGGGGTGCTTCCAACTTTTTATCTTAGCCTGAATGATTGGAAGGATCGGTTGCCATTACATGGGATTGAGAAGAACATGATACAGGGAGGAGAATCATGAATTCAGTGTTGTATGTTGATATGCCTTTTAAAACTTCAAGTAGAGATGCTCCATAGGCAGCTGAATGTGTGAATATGGACCTCAGAAGATGGGTTTCATCTCCAGCTCTGCTGCCCTATAGGGCAACCACTATCCACACATGGTTATTTAAGTTTAGATTTGAATTAAATGTAAAGGCTTATGTAGTCACAGTAATATGCTGTGCTCAGTAGCCGCATGTGGCTTGTGGTTACTGCATGGAGCACCATGGGATTAGAGTACACGATCATCAATGTAGAATGTTCTCTTGGAAAACATGGTGTGGAGTGATGAATTTGCGAGTGGTCAGCATGTGGATTGTACTTAAAATCAGAGCACTGGATGAAGTCACGTGAAGGAGTGTGTATAAATAAACGAGAGGTCAAGGTGTTGGAGGTCCCTTTGATAATGAATAGTTAGGAGATGAGGAGGGTTCAGCCAAAGAAATTAGGAATGAAGTTTTGTGGGGCAGGAAAAGAACTGAGAGAATCCGCTTTGGGTGGCAAAGCAAGGAGGAAGGGATCGATTGTATCCAGTAAGACGAGGCCCATCAACTCTTGGATATGGCAGGGTGCCCTTGAAAGAGCGGTTTCGGTGATGTGTTGGGGAGGGACGCCTGATCCAGAAGGATCATGGGTGAATGAGAAAATATATGGAGACAGAGAGTAAAGACAATTCTTTGAGGGATTTTTGCTCTAAAGGGAATCAGTGAATTGGGATATGAGCTGGAGGGATATGTGGAGATATATCTCACATGTGTGGAGATTTTTTCCAGAGGAGATAGATAATAGCGTGCTTGGATGCTGATGGGAAAGATCTAATAGGGACATTTCAGTAAAGCTCAAGATAAAGGGGCAGTTCTGGTAGTGGTGTCCTTAGGTGGATGAGGGCAGATGGAATCTGGAGCGTAGTGGAGAACCTGGACCGAACAGGAGCTAGGGTCAGGCGTTGTGGGGAAGAGTAGGAGAACTGGAGCGTGTGAGTACAGATGCAGAAAGAGGTTTCATGGGGGAAATTGTGTAAATTCTCTTCTTATTGGTAGCATTGATAATTCTCTATGGCTAGCTTTACTGGAGCCTGAGGGACACTTGACATCTTGATTGGTTTTGTTCAATAGTAATGACACTTTGATTTGCTTAATTTTTTTTTTCCTAAACACCTCCTGCTGTTCACAGCAACATTTTAAAATGTTTTACAGAGAAACCACAGGCCACATACGGCTTAGGTTCTAGAGTCTCTCTAAAAGGTGAAAGAACATATTTTCAATGCCCATTGAAAGTGTGTTAAGTCCCTCTCAAATCACCAGAATGGAAGTCTTCCAAACTCAAAAGGCAAGAAGTAGTATTTTTAATTTTTTATGCATTTCCACTGGGGACCCATTTGCCCTGTGGTAGTCAACATCAGGATCTAGTTTGAATGGGAGAGAATGGGGTGGTCTTAGGAAGTGGAGATAAGTGAGTGGATTTCTTTCTCTATCATGCTTAACACTTGAACTTGTGTCCCTTACACGCGTGTGTGATACATCATGTGTTATAAAATCATCCTGCCTCCTGAGCGTTATTGCTCACTACAACGCCATGTGCTTCACCTACGTTTTACTGCACACGTGGGCAGGTGCACTGCATTACTCTCTCCCTGTGAGGTCTCTGTACAAAGAGATTCCGCTAAAAGGGATATGGCACAAAGAAAACAGAAACCCAAAGTGTTACATACGAGATACTACTTTAATTGAAGGGGAAATTGAGTTGAAATAGCAATGAGCATCAAGATTCTTTTCAGAATGTAAAACCTCTCTCAAAATTCTGGTGTGATTGTGAATAAAACTCTCAGTTGTGTACTTAATATCAAGAACAGTTGTATGACATAGCTGTAAAAAGAAGAAAAAGACTAGAAAGGTCTTCAAAAGTAAGACCTCTAGGACCTTGATTTTGAGGTTTTTGTTGGTGACTAAGGAAAATTTGGCATGTGTCCATTTTAATGGTACTATTACCTATTGTGTTTTGTTTTGGCTGGGGGTGAAGGGAACAAAGACCCATCTGTCAGGATGTTGGTTGTTTCTGGGAGGCACCAAGTATTCATTTTGTTGTACAACAAATGATGTTCACACCATGGAATCTTCGGAGTAAGCCATAATATTCCTGGAGATGCTGAAACTAACAGCAAGTGGAAACCATTTTGTAGTATCCTGAGCAGTGGTTGGTGTAATGAAGGTCCTTGAATAGCTACCACCCACGCAGCCCTAATTGAAGTGGGTCCCACCAGACAGAGAAAGAGCCAGGGCTTCCTATTTTTAACTGGAAATCTGCTTTGCTTTTGGGGCACGAATGCCCAGTCCTAGTGGTAAAGAATTTTCCACAAGACTCATGGGGCGGGAGAGAAACAGCTATTTATACTCATGTTTGAGATTAAAAGAAGAGGAAAAAAGGAAAAGCAATACTTAAGAAAAGAGAGCATCAGGAAGGGAGGCAAATAATGTTTGCCCCAAAGACAAGGTGATAGATTGCAATATTTAGGCACATTTGGTTGGCGGTCCTACGTTCTATTTTAAGCTTATTCAAGAGTCACCTGTGTGATCCTGTACAAGTTCTTTCTTGTCAGTTTTTTCCCAATGAAAAAATGAGCAGCTACACGTTGAAGAGTTGTTATAGGAATGTTTTGAGATAATGCCTAGAAAATACCCAGCAGAGGGCCTGACATGTGGGACGTGCCAGTACATGATTGGTCTTATGTTAGTGGCCAGACCTTAGAGGGTCAGATTTATCCTGAGTCCTTGTCCTCTTTTTTTTTTTTTTTAATTTTTATTCAAATTCCAGTTAGTTCACATACAGTGTAATAATTAGTTTCAGGTATACAATATAGGGATTCAGTGCTTCCATACGTCACCCCTTGCTCATCAGGACAAGTACACCCCTTAATCCCTATCACCTGTTTGACCCACCCCCACCACCTCCCCCCTGGTAACCCTCAGTTTGTTCTTTAGAGTTAAGACTCTGTTTCTTGGCTTGCCCCTCTCTCTCACTTTCCCCCCATGCTCATTTTTTCCTAAATTCCACATAAGAGTGAGATCGAATGGTATTTGTCTTTCTGTGACTGACTCATTTCACTTAGCATAAGGTTTTCTAGCTCCATCCATGTCATTGCATGGCAAGATTTCATTTTTTTTTTTATGGCTGAGTAATACTCCATTGTATATACATACCACACCTTCTTTATCCATTCATCTATTGATGGACACTTGGGCTGTTTCCATAATTTGGCTCTTGTAGATAATGCTGCTATAAACATCAGGGTGATGTATCCCTTTGAATTAGTATTTTTGTATTCGTGGGGTAAATAATAGTACAACTGTTGGATCATAGGGTAGCTCTATTTTTAACTTTTGGAGGAACCTCCATACTGTTTTCCACAGTGGCTGCACCAGTTTGCATTCCCACCAACAGTGCAAAAGTGTTCCTTCCCCTTTCTCCCCATCCTCGCCAACACCTGTTGTTTCTTGTGTTGTTGATTTTAGCCATTCTGACTGGTGTGAGGTGGTATCTCACTGTAATTTGATTTGTATTTTCTTGATGATCAGTGATGTTGAGCATCTTTTCATGTATCCTAAGTCCTTTGGAGATTAAATCCATTCCAGTATATACATTAGCAACCCCTACTTCTGGTCCTATTTCTTTTTGTCATATCTGTTCATCCTGGTACAAAACTGACAGATACATTCTCTTTGGAAATCCTACTGGAATTCCTTGGATTCTAAAATTGATGATAGGTAACTCTGAGCGGGGTATTCTATGGTTTTTGGAGTTCCTCCCTCGTGCCCAGCTTCTACTGGCACCCAGGAGAAGGACTGTAAATTGTGGCCCAGGATAAATCTTAAAAATATATATTCTTAACCTCAGAAAACAAACTGAGGGTTGCTGGAGTGGTGGGGGGTGGGAGGGTTCGGGTGGCTGGGTGATAGACATTGGGGAGGGCATGTGCTATGGTGAGTGCTGTGAATTGGGTAAGACTGTTGAATCAAAGACCTGTACCTCTGAAATAAATAATATATGTTAAAAAAAGAAGATAGTAGGAAGGGAAAAATGAAGTGGGGGAAATTGGAGGGGGATATGAACCATGAGAGACTATGGACTCTGAGAAACAAACTGAGGGTTTTAGGGGAGGGGGGGATGGGTTAGCCTGGTGATGGGTATTAAGGAGGACACGTACTGCATGGAGCACTGGGTGTTATACGCAAACAATGAATCATGGAACACTACATCAAAAACTGATGTATGGTGACTAACAAAATAAATTTAAAAAATTAAAAATGAAGAAAAAACATATGTAGATTCAGTTTCAACCATTATCTGTGAGACACCACTCTGTTAGGCCCATGCTAGGCTTTCAAGTGTAATGGGAAGGTCGAGACCTCATAATATAACCTTACTGCTTTCAATATATTATAAAAAAAAAAATTTTTTTTTGCTTTATTAACGGATATACATAGAGTTGAGGGTAGTGGGCTTATAGCAAAAGTCGTCATGTTTCCCTATTTAGCATCCATCTAAATCACAGCTTTGATGATATGGAAATACACATTTTAAAGTATCAAGGGAAAACTTGAAATCAACATAAAACACACTTGCGAACAACGGCGTGAGCCAAGTTTAAGGTCAAAATGTCATACAAATATCTTTAAAATGTTCGGTGAGATTTCTGGAATTCCAGGGTCTGACCTGTCTCTTCATCTCTGGTTTCTATCTGTGCTGTCCAGGTCCTGATGCAAGGCAAAAATCCGGGGATAGCTTGGAAGTATGCACTTCCCAAGGTCACGAATGGAACTCAGCCAGCCTCAAAAAGGCATAGCCATGCCTGGACCACAGTGCAGTCTCCGTGCTCTCTCTCTTGTGGTGCAGGTAGTTGATTTTCCAATTCTACCTTACAAGTCTCTTCTCAAAACAGGTTCTTCAATCTCAGACCTCTTTACATTGTATGATTTAAATAAGCAACAAAAGAACTGTCTTTTATGGGAACCATCCCTGTAAAAAGCAAATATTATTGTCCTCTTTAAGGATTTTCCTATGTGGAAAGGAACCAAGTCTCAGAAAATTCAAGTCATTCATAACCAGGACTCAAAGGTTACCTATCTGAATTTATGGGGCAAAATAGACAAATACCTGTTTTTTTTTTTAAGATTTTTATTTATTTATTGAGAGAGATAATGATAGAGAGCATGAGAGGGGGGAGAGTCAGAGGGAGAAGCAGACTCCCTGCCGAGCAGGGAGCCCGATGTGGGATTCGATCCCAGGACTCCTGGATCATCACCCGAGCTGAAGGCAGATGCTTAAACAACTGAGCCACCCAGGCGTCCTGACAAAATACCTGTTTATTTATATTTTTCTTTTCAGCTTACAGTTTAGTTTCTCCCTATCCTGACTTTTCTGTTGGTAAGAACCTCCCACTGAGGCTTGTGGGAGGGAGGGTCTAACCCAGAGAGAACACGCGCAAGGCAAACGTAAGACGTCTGTCTGAAACGCAGGTATTATGTCATCCCGTCCCCCAGGGGTGAGGCCAGCAAAGTCTCTCTCAGGAGGGAAGTGTGGTGAATCTGGGAATTCACCCTCCTAAGGGAGGGAAAACAATAGCTGTCCTCTCAGTGAGTAGAAGGCAAGCATTTTATTTAGATCCAAGAATATCATATATTTGTGTGTAAGTCAGTCTTTGTTACCCTTGCCCCTGTGAGAAGAAGAATGAAAATCTATAAATGGATCCATAAAACTGAAGCATGGAGGTTAGCCACACATTTTCTCATTATCAGAGCATGTGGTGACAGTGGGTTTCCCAAATGTGTCCATCCCCCTAAGCACAGTGGGGCATCTTGAACCAGACACAGAGAGCAGAAATATAGAAAACGAAGAAATTCTTCAGTCTATAAGACTTCTTCAGGTGTTCATGCTAATTAACAAAACACAAGGAAATACTTCTTTGTTAAATATATTAAATACTTGAAAAAAATATTAAATACTTGAAAAGTAATACATTTTTATAGAAACAAAGGGGATTCAGAGCACATGGATCATGCTGAGCCCTTAGGAACGCATAGCATTGTTGAGTTATTATGTTGTACACCTGAAACTAATACAACACTGTATGTTAATTATACTTAAAGAAAACGTAAAATTACCAAAAAAGTAATACATTTTTCGTAATACACATTTTAAAGGCAATAGACTATGCAGAAGAAAAATAATTTTCCCTAATCCTTTAATCAGCACATGCCAATGTTAATACTTTTGTCTGTGTCATTCTATCACTTTCTTATGCAAATATAGACACGTGTGTTACATGTTCTCAGACACACCCACACAGATCATTTTATATTATTTTTTTACGGCACAGAAACCATGCTATTGATACATGTTTACAATATGCTCCTTTTCACTTAAATTACAAGCAGTTTTTCATGTATCAAATGCTTTTTGAGATCATTTGCAATAACTTCCTGGTATTCCAGGGAGAGCACTGTTCTTTGGGAAGGGAAGAGATTCAATCCATTTTCCATTTATGGCGAATGAGTCCAACCAAAGGGAGGATGCTGGAGAAGTGCATTGTGGGATCCTCCCCTTGCCTTGATTTAGCGATCCCTTCATGTGACTTCCAGACCATAGTGTGTCCAAGGCATATGAGAAGGAGAGTCTAAATGAATAAATGGAAGTAAACAGTTAACTCTAGGGAATCCCAGTGTTTGGTAAGTGCCTCCTCCAGGCACACCTCCTTCACCTAATCATTATCACAGGAGTAAGTTTTCATTGTTTCTCAGATTCCATTTTAAGGAAAAGTACCATGTAAATATAAACAAACAGAATTCAAAGAGGCGGCAGCATTCCTATTTGGAGAGCTGACAGACAAAATTATTCACACACATAAAAAATACGTGCTTCTGATGAGAAGTCCGGAGACGAACACTGCAAGCCAGGCTTTAAGTGTCACTAAAGCAAAAAACCAAAAGCCCCAAGTCCTAGCTGACAGATATGAATCCCTATTCAGAGAATTCAGCTTTTTGTTTATATCTATTTCTTATGGAAGTAGAAGATGCTTCATGGAAAAGTAGGATATTAGAGTTTCCGCACATAATTTACCAAAGGTTTTTCTTTGAAGAACATTTTCCAATAGATGGATGCAATGTGAGTTCAGGTTTGTGGGATGTTCCCCTGTAAAGCCACCCTGTTTTCAAAAGGTTGTGTTTATCACTTCATGGTTCAAGAATCCATAGTGGTCTTGAAAACTAAGAAGCTACACATTCAAATTATTAAAATATGAAAACTATTATCTCGGGGGGAAATGGGATTCAAACTAGTTGCAGATGGGAGGTGTTCTCAACACCGTATTTAGATTCTGTGTCTTAAGTAAAACATCAGAACCCTGGTAAGTCAAGCTGCACTTGGAACTGAAATTGAATTGGTTATCTGTAATTTTCACTTTGTAACTTTTGATGTCTTATTAGGTTACATAAGTGTAAAGGCCATTTGCTTACGAGATCAAAACACTCAAGTCAGCTCTTCGTTCTGCAATGCAAGAACCAAGCCAGCAACTGCACCCAAAATATGCAATGCTTTCCCCTGCCCTGCTTAGTAAGTCATCTGGAAATGTCTTTCTGGTAACATGTGTACTTGCATGCTCTTCTTGTTGATATGAGAAAACTAAAACCCACTGTTGGTGCTTCTGCTCACAAGTGACCCAGAGAGAGAGAGAATGCCCAAAAAAAGTAACAGAGAAAAGAAGACAATTGAGGTTAAAATATATAACTGGAAAAACACAGATTTGCTTTAGACAGTCATTTGACTCCAGCATTGCAAACCTAACCTTGGGGTTTTAAGGTATCTTTTTTTTTTTTTTTTAATCTTTACATAGAGCCTCCTCTGAACTAAATCAAACAGATATTTAAATAATACAAAATCCCATATTAGTTAGATTTACATGTAGTTGTGTGTTTAACTTTCATATAGTCATCCAAGAATTTAAAAATCATAATACTAGGCAGACCATGAAACCCCAAATGCAAATTACACAGTAGCAAGACACAAAATGAAAAGAAAGAGGTAGAGGCCAAGTGGTAATCCGCTTCTGATGATGGCACTCTATGGGGAGCTCGGTGGGTGTGTTTTGGGGATGGATTTTAGCCACACTATTGTTTGAATGCTAATTTTAAATAATCTTCCCAGCCGAATGGAGTCTTTTGTGTGATTTATCTTCTGCCAGATGTATTTATAGAGAATCGGCAGAGTTCCTTCTAAAGCAGTGTTGTGTTCCCTAATGATTCAGATCATCTTAATAAGTAGTGTTTGCTTTGTGGTGATGCAATTATATTGCACAATCTTTTTAGACACATACATGCATTTTTTCTTTGTAATAGTGCAGTTGTTCTCATTGTCTGGGGCTTCAGCTGTTCACCAATCCCATATGCCCTGTTGTCCACCTCGTTTTTCTCCAAGAATCTGGAACCAGCTGTGTCCTGAACACAAAGAGTAAAAAGAAATTTGGTGGGCTTCCATGGATTTTCCCATTTTGCTAAGAAATATCTGATTCTAAAAGATATCCGGAGGCTCTAAGATATGATTACCAGACAGTGTTATTGACGCTTGTGGAGTAATGTCTTCTTTAGATGGGGTGTGTGTGTGTGTGTGTGTGTGTGTGTAATTGTGAGTCTGCTTGAATGGCAAGCTGATGTTTTGTGATTTTAAGCCTCCTTCCCATTGTTGGCTGTTTCTGCCAAGCAAAGACACAGACCCCCTTCATATGTCCATCCAAGGAAAGGGAGAGAGCCCAGCTTGTGCCTGACTGCTAGAACTTCTGTGATGACCCCGTGTGGAAACAATACTGTGTAGTAACCAGTTACTGGCTATTTAAAAACAGAACAGCCCTCACAGTGACTGCAGGGTTGGAGTGGCGGAACAGGCAGGATCCGTTGCTCCCTTCCTTTCTTCTCCACCTTATCATTTATATCTTTGTATTTTCCTGTTGGAATAATGGGACCTTCAGGGACATATACTGGAAATAAGGTCTTAGGTTATTCGAGTTAGAAGGACAAAGGAATCCATCCCATCTAACTCCGTTATCTTCCCATGCAACAAGCATGTCATATGCACCTACTGGATGCCAGCCTTGGACTGACAGTGTGGATCCAGAGAACTTGTACTTCGTGCCACCAGTGAACTCACAATCAAGGGGAAAAGAGGGGTGTGTAAGGAAGTAATTGAGAGGCGGTGAGATATGTGCTGTGAAGAGGGCATGTACAAAAAAGCAGGGGGGTGGAAATGGACAGTGTAGGAGCTGGGCTCTGAGGTGGGGTTGCTAGGGACTGAGGACAGCTGGGGAGTGAGCCTGGGGCCCAAGGATGCAGAACCATGCCTGGCATGCAAAAGGTCTACCTGGTGTGCTCTTTCTGTACTTTAACAGATTCATCATATTTGTCGAATGAAGGAAAAAGTTGACTTGGTTAGACAAAAATGCCATCTTTATAGGAGAATGGTGAAATTAATAATCTCATAAATATGTTTCCTTGACATCTTACAAGACACAAATAATTACACAAATAAGGAATTATTCTATTTTGTATTCTCTTTCTTTAAAAGAATATGAATTATGCAGTGTTTTAGAACAACATCATCTAGAACTCATGTGCCACACTCTCTGGATGAAAGGAAAGGTTTTTAACTTCACACGTCGGGCTGGAGGGGTAAACCAGGGGAAAAAATTACAGGACTGGTAAAGGTGGCAGAAATGCAAATGTAACACAAAAAATGTATTTGGTCTCAGGTTTTATTTCTTGAAATGAGATTTAGACTACTGGTAAACTAGTCTTAGACATCACTCCTATGACTGAAATGTGTAAGGTCATCTCTGGGGGATCTTTATGCCAGGCCTTCCAATCCTAGATTATCAATTGGTCAAATGCAGTCATTGGAAAGGATTAGTAGGTTCATTCACATGCACACCAAATCTCAGAACACCGTGAAAAATGTGGTGTGGCAATCTCTCCATAAAGAACGCAAGGTTGTGTCTCTTAACTCATCCATGAAGTTGAAGAATAACCGAATAGTTGGGGGAACTGCCTCCTTAGAAATAGTTTCTGTAAGACCACTGCTGAAGGGGCCCTGCCCTCCTGCAGGCATGTATGATGCATGTGCACCCCCCTCCCCTCCCATTGATCATTCTCCCCTCAGTCTCATTACCGTACTTTGTATTAACGTCTATTATAGCCATCATCCCATAGTATTGTCCTTATTTGTTCACATATCCACCTCATCACTGTGTTGTAGGCTCCATAATGGAAAGAACATTGCCTCATCCATTTTTCAACCCCGATGCCTGGGAGAGTCCACGGCACAAAGTGAAGATCCCAGTAGATTTGGCCGAATGAGTGAATCGCTCAGGTTTCCAAATGGCACATGTTTCTTCCCTTGCAGAGAGCAGGAATGTGTTTTTGCCCAGAACTGTGTGCTGATTAAATGTGACTCCCTCTCACTGGACCCCATTTGCATAGGCTTTGAAACCCATAGAAAAATAGTTGCTAGGAGTCGCCCTTATTGGTTCTAAAATCAACCCAAGGCTTTCATCAGGTGGTTAAAGCTTATACAATAACTGCTTTGGAAGGGATGATGCAAAGCCTCAGCCTCATTGGAAGTAATTCTGGTTTTTCACTGCAAGCTGGAAGCCAGGCGAATGGAGTGTGTGCAGCCGGTCGTGTGCGGGGGGCCAGCAGAGCAGGAAGATCCAGTGTGTCCAGAAGAAGCCCTTCCAGAAGGAGGAAGCCGTGTTGCATTCTCTCTGCCCAGTGAGCACGCCCACACAGGTGCAAGCCTGCAACAGCCATGCCTGCCCACCGGAATGGAGCCTTGGACCCTGGTCTCAGGTAACTGGGCAAGACTCGGAGTCGTGAGCCTTGTTCCTTCTGGACAAAGATGGTGGCAAAAACAGGGGTGGTGTCCTTGCTCCCATGAGGCACTCAGCTATTTATGCTTTCCCGGGAATCACGCTGAGTTAATGTGACGAGGCATTCTGATTTGTATTTTTTTGTGATTTTTATGCAACCTGCGGATTGGAAGCCCCTGCATCACAGCTCAGAGTCTTCCTTTGAAGTCTAGAAAGTAGAGTATGGGAGCCATTGAGGCTAGATTCATGAGCACAGCTAGGAAGGATTTGCGTGTCAGTGGATTGGCAGACGATAGGGCTACTGAATTCTCTAAAGCAAATAGAAAACACAAATACAAAAAGTGGCGTAGGAAGGATATTCAACTCTTGGCTTCAGGGGAAAGAGCCATGGTGTTGGAGGGATCCAGAGGGGAGTCGGGTATAAAGTTTCCTATCATCACAAACTCCCAGTGAAAGGTAGAAAGTTATAAAGTCAGAAGAGGCACAGACCTACCCACCATTCACAGCCCTGAGGTGCTCAGTGGGGCCTGGGTTTGTCAGAGGTCCTCTCAGGTGGTGTCTGGAAGCATTTTTCACTGTCCCAGCATGGAGGAATGATGCTATGGGCATCTATTTGGTAGAGATAAACATCCTACAGTGTCAGGGACGGCTCCCTGAAACAAAGATTTATCTGGTCCAAGACATGCTGACGGTGAGAATTCTGCTCCGTGGTAACCCAGCCTCTGCTAAACCACGGAGGTCAAGCCAGCTTTATGGAATCATCAAAAAGAGGCAGGGGTTCTAACTGTGAAGCCAGGGAGAAGTCCTCGATCACATTTCTGCCATGCTTTCCTTTAGGGAACATTATCCTGGAGCACTGATTTCTGATTAAGGATCGCAGTGTACTGCCCCATCCCCAATAGAGTTCAGATCAAAGCTTTTTTTTTAATTATAGGACATGAGATTTTTTAATGTTACAACTCTGGTAGGGGAATAAGGAGCTAGCAGTGGGAAAGAGTATCTTTGACCTGCATTAGTATGCTTTAAAATGAAGGAACATAATTATTTATAGCAGAAGGTTAATCGAAATAGGCTATGGTGTTATGTCCGGTCTCTCTTTCTGCAAGTAAGGAGGTACACTTTACAAGAGGAAAATTCAAAGGGCTGTTTTAGCCAAATGTGTGTGGTAGGCATGGGGAAAAGATTTGGGGGGCCGAGCAGTTCCAAATGTGACCTCATGAAAAGGAGCTTCGGTTCAGAGTTTGCCCTAAATTTGACATGGAAATATTTTAAGAGAGTATTTTATGTGCTTGGTTTTTTGTTTCGTTGTTGTTTACTAAGACCAAATGTGTCCTTTTGGGACCATCTTCCTGACAAATTTGAAAGTAGTCCCTCAAACTTTGTTACCTCAACCTGTTCTTCCCTTAGAGACCATGTCTCTGAAACCTTCTGAGAAGCAATTTTAAAATGTCTCATCGTTCTTAAAAAAATAATTTAAAAAAACAGGAACACATAAAATAAGAATTCTATTGAAGAAGGGTCACCCATTTAGAAATTTTGAATGTGATTGAATGATGATATGCGTTAGTGGGACATCTCCCCGTCTGATGCCAGACAAACTTGTCTGCCCGTCTTCACTACGTAACAGCTGTTTGTTTGTTTGATCTTGGTCAAGTTCTCTAAGCTCCGAGTCTCAGATGGCCCTTCTGGAGAACTGGACAATAGCAGTGATCTCAGAGGGTTGGTAGAAGGTTGTGGATACAAGTCAGCATGCCTGCCTCATCACATGGAAGGCATTACATAAATGTTCTCTGCTGCTGTGGTTTGCAGATTATGATAATATCGTCCCCATCATTCCTCTCCCTTAAGGATGTGAAGAGCCAGAAGTCATGTTGATCCTTGGGGGAGGCTTGGAATTGTGCCTAGATGTTTGCATGTTGACAAAGAGCCGAGGCAAGAGGGGCACCTCTCATATGGCTCTTCTCAGAAACCGAGGCCGGGGAGGGGACGTGTCCCTTGAGGGCAGATCCAGACCTGGAGCCTACAGCTTCCAAGCGACCCTGACAAGTTTTTAACTACTCATCTGAAAGCGAGGAGATTCTCCTCTTTCCCCGCCCCCCATATGTTTCACAGAGTTCTTGGGAAGGGCAAGAAAGTAAGACTGCAGGAGTGGCCCATCAAGCAGGTTCATTCACAGACATTCACCGAGTGCTTCTTTCTTTCTTCCCCTCTAGTTAGCATGGAGCCCACCCCCCAGGCAGCAGGTGGGTAGGAACAAGGATTGGACACCCTGCACCCATTTTTATCAATGTCACGGTCTCTTGCTATTTTATGCATGCATCTTTTTCACTTCCTGTCAGATGCACAATAATCCTCCTTAGCCGAGTGCCCAGACCGAGCGCGAGCCACTGTTACCCCAAAGAGCAGGCCCTGTACCATTCTCCCAGTAATCATGGATGCTGTGGAGAGGGAACCTCGTCTTCGGGTCTGGGCAACCAGCAGCCCCTGGGCATTCAGATGGTGAAGGTGAATGCTAACCTGCATTTACAGCCTCTAGAGAGAGGAAAGATTTCTCCTACTGAGTATAAGGCATTTGGTTTTAAAGCTTAAATATAGTTTGTTGACTCAGTTTTCAGCGTTCACCTGAAGAAAATCATTTGAAACTAGCATGCACATGACTTTTTTTTCCCCCTCCATCTCCAGTGTTCCAAGAGCTGTGGGCGAGGGGTGAGGAAGCGTGAAGTCCTATGCCAAAGCTCCCCCACGGCAGAGAATGTCCCGGAGACCCTGTGCTCCAGCATCCCGAGGCCCGAGTCCCAGGAGGGCTGTGTGCTAGGACGATGCCCCAGGAACACCCGGCTGCAGTGGGTTGTGTCTTCGTGGAGTGAGGTAGGAGTTGCGAGTTAGTACTGCTGGCTTGTGTGTTTGACTGCTCAGTTCACCCACCAGCCCCCAGAGGCTCACACCTCCTCCTCCTCGTTCCACACACACAGCAGGTGCCTACTAATTATCTGTTCTTCCCTCCGGACTCTTCATCAAACCCTGACGAAGCACCCGTCGCGCTGAGCGGGCCCGTGCCTGGGTGTGAAAACAGCTCCACCCCGTGCGTGTGCATGGCAGCTCGGGTAGGGGGTGCCGAGTGCTGCAGTGGGGGTCTGTGATGCCACGGGTAGAGCTCAGGGTCCCCCAGCCCTGCCACCAGGGGGAGTCTTTGTCAGGAGAGACTTTCCGGGGAGTGTGAGGCTGAAGGATGGGCAAGAATTGGGCAAGGGTGGGGTTGAGGGAAGGTTGTTTCAGACGGAAGGTGTGCCCCATACGAGGGCGAGGGGAAAGAAGGGGACACAACCCATACAGTGGGGTGAGGGGGTGGTAGAAACCGAAAACTTCACCAGGGCCCCTGTGTTGGGACCACTTAGCACCTAGAACAATCCAACATAAAGCGGGCAGCCCCCCAGACAGGCAAGGCGCCCACCGGCAGATGCTGTGATTGGGACGGAAGAGGAGTGTTCCAGGAGTGGAGAGAAGCAGCATCTTCTTGAGTTCCTAAGGAGGCCATTGTCACCTTCGGGCATATGTGGGTGGAGGGGAGAGGGAGCCGTGAAGATGTCTCCTGGATTTCTGGCTTGCGAAACCCGGGTGCATGCACAGCCAGAGGAAATGTGAGAAAAGGAGCCCAGCCTGAAGTCTGCCCCAGTAACTGATGGGACGGGGGTTTCTGCTTTGGAGGAGATCGCAGTACCGGGAGGAAGACAGAGGCCGGGATGCAGAACAGGTCAATAGTGGGGATGGTGCGGTGCGGTGGAGGTGGGGCTTCTACCCCAGCAGCCCCTGGGTCTGGCCATCGGTGTCCTTTTATTCCGTCTAAATGGTAAGTAACCCACATAGCAATGCGTCCACCTCTCTTCCCACCCATTTTCTTTGAGATGTTATAGCCTAATGGCTAAATGCACAGGTGAATCAGATTTACCTCCAGTATTTACTTGGGGTGTGACCTTGAGCTAGCCGCTTACCCCGGCAGAGCCTCGCTGGACAGTGCCTCATTTGGCCTCATTTCATGGTGCTGACAAGCTCTGAGACGTTGGGACAGTTAATCGAATTCTCTACCCTCTGGTTTCTTCGCAGTAGCATGAGGGACATGGTTGCCTTGTCTTTAGGATCCTTGAGTACCTGTGGTTCACCTGCAATGATCCCATTCCTAGAATTTCACGTGGATGGTGCATCTGTTCAGCAGACTTGACCGTGGAGCTCTGCACACCTAATGCCCCCCTTCTTGGCTCCTAGTGTTCGATGACCTGCGGTTTGGGTGTGAGGAAGAGGGAGATGAAATGCAGCGAGAAGCCCTTCCAGGGAAAGCTCATCACTTTCCCAGAGCGAAGGTGCCGCAATATTAAGAAACCAAACCTGGAGTTGGAAGAAACCTGCCAGCGAGGGGCTTGTCCCGCCCGAACGGGCTTGGGCGTGGAAGCGGGATGGTATCCATCACCATGGCAACAGGTGAGCACCCGCAGATTTTCGTGAGATTCTCAGAACGGGGGCAGCCCACCAGTGGCTGCTGTGGGGGACTCGTCCAAATGGAAAGACCAGCAGCTCAGGTCCCGGAGGCTGAACGACTTGTGATCTTTGGCCAGCTTTATCACCTGTGTGTGTGGCCCTGGGCCGCTCCCGTCATCTGTGAGCTTCGGCTTTCACAGCTAGAAAATCAAGATGATAATGTCTTGAAGAGCTGATTTTTTTCATGAGCACCTAATATAAAGCACTTAGACCAGGCTGGTCACATGGTACCAAATATTCACTATTGCTCTGCTCTCAAAATCCCCACGAGTCTTCTGTATTCTAGCAACCTTGCTCATAGCCTTGACTCCTTTGGTTTTTATGTCATGTTGCTGAATGATGTAATAATTCATTTGTTGAAACCGCCTTGTTCGGGGGTATTTTTGTCCCTATTTTGTAGAGGAAGCAGGGAAAGCTCCGAGTTGGTCAATTCAGGCAAGGACCCCCCCCCACCAGCTCTTAAACCCATTAGATGTTCGAGGCACCCTTTTTCTCAGAAGGCTGGGGTAAAATTTTGGTTACAGTGGTTTGGTTCTGATTGCTTCACACACCCACCCAGCCAAAGTCTGAGAGAGAAGCTGTGTTGTGGTCCTTGTCCTTTCCAACCAACAGATGTCAGAACTCGCTGGCTTGAGAAGTTCTGCCCACCCCATCATTAAACACGGGCTGGGTGGGGGCACGTGCAAGCACAAATGTAGGCCTATAGGTCAGTACACAGAAATACACATAACGTAGAATGTGTGTATTTATGTGGGTCTGTATACACCAATGTGTGCCTATGTATTTGTAAGTACACATACACGCGCGTGTGTGCCTGTGTGTACTGGGGAGTATCTGAGAACTAAACCATGAAGAAAAGCAAAGGAAACTAGTGTGATTGCGTATCTCTTAATCGGTTACATGCTATTTACATCACTATGGACTTCTTTTTCAAATTTTATCACTGTCTTTTTTAAGAGATTTGGAAATTGCTTCATTTTAAGATTATTTAGATCAGGTATCAGCAAACAATTTCCAGCAGGCCAAATCTGCGCCCCCTCCAAGCCCCGCCTATTTTTTTGTAAATAAAGTTTTATTAGGACACAGCCATGCTCTTTTGTCTACATATCGCCCATGGCTGCTGCTTCCGTGCTTCAAAAGGCAGACTTGAGTGGTTGCGATAAACATCACATGGCCCACAAACCTGAAAATATTTACTATCTTGCCCTTTACAGAAAAAGTTTGCCAATTCCTGGTTTAGATGATAACAGTCCTACAGCTCTATACCTTTAGCTCTTGGCGTTAAATCCAAAACTCGTATGTTTTCCATCCCTGCATATTTTTTCTTCCCAAAAGCAGTCCATATAAAGATGCTGGTCCAAAATGAACACTTCGCCTATCTGCAATAAAATAAGAAAAATAAGAATAATGTAGTGAATTTTTAAAAGCAAAAAAAATTTTCCTGATATTTCATTTGTTATACAAGTTGATAGTGATTGAACAGTGAAATCATTGACTTCTAGAAAGCACCACACCCACTGTGCCAGCTCAGAATTTGGCCGGGCACCGAGGGCAGGATTCCAAAGCTGTCTCGGAAGTAGTATTTCTTCGCTGTCCTAATTCTGAAGCATCCCCTGCCTCCCACTATTGCATCTGCAGAGATTATCTGGAATTCTTTAAATACTGTGATGATTTGTTCGGCGTCCTTATGGCAGCTTCTGTATTTCTGGAAGCTCTCTTCTTTATGAGTCACTGAACTGGAGACACTCTCTCTGGGGCGAGATAGATAGCATTTACCTAAGACCCCCTTCTAATCAGATCACATGGCTGTTGTGTATTAGACTGTGGACGTGAGCACACGTGCTGGGCTCTGGCCAATCCCCGCTTCATCAACAGGGCACCCGGGTCATGGCATGAAGCCTGGAGATCCCCTCTATTTGACATCACTGACCTCCAAAAGGACAACCTCCAGCTGAGTGTTGCTGACTCCTAGCTCTTTCCCTCTTCTGCAGTGCACGGTGACCTGCGGAGGGGGTGTCCAGACCCGCTCAGTCCACTGTGTTCAGCAGGGCCGGCCTTCCTCAAGCTGTCTGCTCCATCAGAAACCTCCAGTGCTGCGAGCCTGTAATACAAACTTCTGTCCAGCTCCTGAAAAGAGAGGTAAAGGGTCCCCCCCACACACCAGTCAGTTTTACTAGTCTTCAGAGAATTTTTCAAAAACCTGTTTGGTTGTACAGTTTATTCCTTGCAACAACTCCAGCGGGTGCCATTCACCCCACTGTGTATGTGAACAGTGCTCCGCACAGGTGTACAAGGCACAAATCAGGGGTGGTTTCTGCTCAAAATGATCTTGTTTGCAAACCTATGCAGGGAACATTTTATTCTATGATAAGGCTTGTTAGCCATTAATTCTTACTTTGAAAGGGGGAAATAGTCATTTTGCAAGTCCATTTTTTAACACTGTTTTAGTTAAATAAGAAAATGAAAAAGTAACCACCCTGTGCCAGAGATTACACTCGTCAGGGGGGATGTAGGCATGAAGGGGAATTGTCCTGGAACTCACACTTTAATTAGGGAGGCAGGTAAGTTGCAGTCAGTCAGTGAATGTGCATCGTCCCAGGACCACACCTTATGTGTTTCCTTAGTTACAGGCCATTCTAACAAAGTGTAGCATGTGCTGATGGGAGAATGGGAAATTGAATTATCTGAGTGAACTACACTGTTTCACTAGCCCAACTTACTTCAAAGTAATCTGACAAACACACCAGGAAAAGTCTCCTCCCCCCAATCAGATTTCCTTGTGCTAAAGAATTATGTTCCACCATGTACCTACTGCATTTTCTTTTCATCCAATCACGGCTTTTCCAAGACTGTTTCGTTTCTTACCCTGTGCTTTTCAATCTGTGGTGAATCAGATTCAGGACTTTCACTCACTGGCTCTCCCTTGTCCCTACCACTTCGCGTTTCTAAATTGTTGCCATTGTTTATCTGCATCCTAGAGCCGTAGCTCCAGGCTCTGGGCATCGGTTTTCCCTCCTCTTCCCTCTCTCCTTCCTTATCTGAGGCTTGCAGGACATAAGAGAACTAGTAATACAGCTGCTGCTCAGAGCCACATCACTTCCAAGGCAATGCTGGAATTCTCCAAACCTGCAGCCTTTTTTGGCAGAAAGCTTATGGGGGAAGAAATACACCTTTTGAGCAAGTGGTCATGTACTTGCAAACTGTCCCCTCCTTTCTTCCCCCTTGGTGACTTCTCCTCCCCGCCCCCCTTCAGTCAGATGGCCCCAGACAAACCCACACATGCCAAGAATCAGAAGTACAGGCCCCCTAGGTACTTTGAGACAGGCTTAAGGACAAGGGCCGACCATGAAAATTGCTCAGCAGTATCTCCTGGGTACGAGTGCTAGGTGGGGAGAGCCAAGACATATGTTAGATCCAAGATCGGGGGGAGGCCTTTGGTGTTACTATTTTGTTCATCCAGCGCCCCGCCTGGCACACACCATAGATGCTCAATGCGTGTTAAGTGGAAGATTGTAAAGTACCGTGAGGTTCTCTCCTTCCTTCAAAGCCAGGTCACTAAGCACCTGCTGTATATCCCTAGCATTCTTCTAGAGATAAAAGAACAAGGCAATATCCTGTTCTTAAGCTACAAGGAGTCAGTGTCTCAAAGGAGGAGGAAGATACAACAACAGATACGAGTGGTGGAGTGTTACCAGTGTTATAATGGAGGTCAGGTCTCCATGGGTTGCAGGGAGGGGGCCAGTGAAAGATGGTGGTATGAGAAAGGGTTATTAGAAGAAGGATGTCTTTCCATGCCTCTTGACTAAGGTCTCTTTTGTGAAGAGGAGTAAAGTAAGAAGGCAGATATGAAAGACACAAGCCTGGGTGTTTCTTCTTGGCCAAGATGGGGCCTATGGTTTTTGCAAGTTGGAGGCCTCCTCCCATTTCCATCCCAAATGCAGGGAGAGTGGCATGCCCAAATTACTGCTGGGTTAGTCTTCCTTCTTAGATCATTGGCAGGGTGACCACAGGTGGAATTGGAGTGTGTTTTCTAACACTGGGGTTTCTACAAGCATTAGTGGGCAATAAGCAAACCCCTGGTGCTTTAGGGAAGAGCTCTTGGAATGTTCTGAGACTCCCATGATGGGCCAGGTTTTTGAGGCACCGTCTTCCCCTCCAAGAGTTGAGAGAAGACAGTTCTGCCCAGATTGGCATCCCTCAGACCCCCACCCATGCTGGAAACCAGTCTAGGGCCCTCACTTGATGCCATCATCACTATGGGATGCTTTACTTGGGTCTTCATTGGATCTCCACTTTGGGAGAACATCCTATGAGCTGGCATTGTGCGTATTTTATGTGTAAACCTTCTTCAGAATAGAGGGAGGCCTCGGGCAGTGACATCACTCATCACTGTATCGTGACTGGTTGTTGACATAGTCGGGAAGAGGCCTGGGTTGCAGCCCAGGGGGATTCAGTGGGGGATGAGCAGCACCCAATATGAGTAAGTTTACTCCTCATGGAATCTCACATCCTCACATGGAGAGGGGGCAGGATGGGCAGTATTGAAGAGCGGCAGAAGCAAGGACTCTGACATCACCAAAAGGATTTGAGTCCACACGCTGCCATATACTGGTTTGTGGCCATGGGCAAGCTTTTGAACTATTTATGAAATGGAGAAATGATGCTTACCTGAAAAGATCATTGAGAGTTAAGTAAGATGCTTCAATTTTTCCACATTTATTTAGTACTTACCGTGAACCAGGAACTGTTCTGGTGTCTGATTGTAGATAGAAGAGTGAACAAAATGTGCAAAGTTTCCACTTTATATCTGGAAACAAACAAAGAAGCCAATCAATAAATATACAATCTCAGATAATAAAGTAGAAAATAAAACTGAAGCAGGGTATAGAGAATGAGAATGGGGGGTGAAGACGGGGGTGGGAAAACTGGTTTAGGTAGACTAGTCAGGCAAGGATGATGTGGATGATGTGATATTTAAACAGGGACCTAAAGATGACCTAAAGGAAGGTGAGCTATGTTTATGTATCTAGAAGGAGAGTGTTCCTGGCAGGGGCAACAGCACATGCAAAGGCCCTGAGGTGGGAATGTGTGAATCTGATCAAGGAACAGCAAGACACCTGGAGTCAGATGTCTAAAGTGGACAGGGGTTAGGTGATTAGCTGGTCCTGGAGGCGTTTTCAGTCTTCGTAAGGACATAAGATTTACCTCTGAGTGAGGTGGATGCTGATGGAGAACTTGGGGCAGTGGGATTGGACTTGTGGCAAGATCCCCGGCAGTTACACAGAGAAGAGCATAGGGGCCCAGAGCTGAAGGAGGCTTTGTCCACTCTTGGTTGGGAGGAGGTTCCCTTAGAGCAGCGGCTGTAGTGGGAGAGGCTGGGTGCTGGTATATTCTGAAAATTGAGCTCATGTATGGTATTTGTCAATTGTTTGCATACAGGATGTGAGGCAAAGAAAGAGGACACCAAGGTCATCCTCAATAGCATACATAAAATACGTGACTGACCACAGAAGCTCAAATCACCAGCTATGAGAATAACCATAATCAAACACAGTGCTCATCTTGATGGCACATTGACACACCTCCCTTCTGCTTCCTGACTTAAAGTTAGCTCATAGCAGAAGCTGCAGAAGCCAGCTGAAATCCCATTTTTTTTAAAGATTTTATTTATTTATTTGAGAGAGAGAATGAGATAGAGCATGAGAGGGGGGAGGGTCAGAGGGAGAAGCAGACTCCCCGCTGAGCAGGGAGCCCAACGCGGGACTCGATCCCGGGACTCCAGGATCATGACCTGAGCCGAAGGCAGTTGCTTAACCAACTGAGCCACCCAGGCGCCCCTGAAATCCCATTCTTAACTCAAAAGGAGTAAGAGTCGATACAGCAGTACAGTTAGGACCATGGTTTTAGTGATCGGTTTTTATCCTGATGCAGTTAATCTCTGCAATTTAAATAGAAACTGATTCAGACGTACATTCTGATTGATTAGGCTACCTGCTACTTGGGCTGGGATAGAAGACACTGTACAAGTATATATTAAAAATAATTGAAGATGAAAATATAGATACATAGGCAAACAGTTTAGACGGGTGTTCATCTCACTTCTGACTTGTATCTTCTCCTGGGGCCCCACCCCTGCCCCCATGATGGTCTGCATCAGTACGCCTTCTTCTAGATGCTCAGGGCAAAAAGCTGATCATCATTACTGATTTTTCTTTTCTCTCTCATACCTTTACTAACCTGTCAGAAAGTTCTCTAGACTCTATATCCGGGAGTTATTGAAAAGAAAAAAGAATGATCTGAGTTCACCTTTCTACCCAAGTTGAGACGTTGTAGGTTTCATATTGGTTGTTTCAGCCATGACGGTTACAGGGAAACTATTTTTTCAACAAATATTTCTTGAGCAGCTACTTTGTGACAGGCATTAAGCATTGGGAAGAAAGTAATGAAAACAGTAGGCAAAACCTCTGCTCTCAAGGATTTTACATTCTATAGAGGAGCAGACAGCACAGAATAGGATGAGTGCTGATAGACCCAAGGTAGAAAAATAAAGCAAGGTGGGGAGTAGGGAGGCCACAGAGCACGCTGCTTGTATGGGGAAGTCTGGGAAGGCCCTACTCTCAGTGACCTTCAAGCAGAGACTTAAAAGAAGGGGTCTGGATGTCTGGGGGAAGCCACAGTATGCCTGGCATGTTAGGGCATCTGCCAGGTGTCCCATGTGGGGGAGAGGATGAGCGGAGGAAGATGAGGTCAAACAGAAGTGGGGGAACCAGATCCCAGGGCCTTGTCGGCCATTGTAAGGACTAAACCTTTCACTCTGGGTGGATGGAGGGGCCAAAGGGAGAGTTTGGGGCTGAGACATGACATGAACTAACTTATCTGTTCAAAGGATCAGTGGGGCTACTATGAGATGGGTGGGGGGCTGTGTTTTAGGCAGAAGAACCAAGGCAGGGGGAAGGAACTGTAGGCAGTTCTGAATCAGAAGCAGGATTCAAATCGATAGGAGAGCTGAGAGCCTGGCATGCCATGTCCAAGGGCACAAAGCAGAGCTACGTAAGGATAATTTTGGAAGGGGGTGGGTGGGGTGCCTGTGGGCCGTAGGGGGCGTTGGGCAAGGTGAAGGTAAAGTGACTTTTGAGCCTTGCATAGAGGAAGGGGAAAGCACTTCCAACCATGAATGAGAAGACTTACTCATGTAGAGGGTAGACCATAAATTACTTCTGAAGTCAAAATTCCTTGAGAATCCAGTAAAATGACTAAGGCCCTGACTCCTAAAATGTGCACTGAGGTTTTTATAAAGAAAATCTTACATACAATTTCACATGCCTTCTGTGTCTAGTGAGGCCCTTCTGGGTGAGAATCCCTGATGTATAACGTTCTGCTCCCAGTCCATAATCCCATCTGTCAACAGAAGAAGTCAGGACTGGTGTTGACTTAAATTCACTCAGTTGCAAATTGGCTAGGAGATTTATTTAAATCGACCTAGAGTATTGCAGCTGGGCCTCAAATGCAGGTGTGCTGACTCCCGATATCTTAGGCCTCCTGTTCCCCAAAGTAAGGTTCCGTGGACCAAGGAGCAGCAACAGCACCTTAGCTCTCACCCCAGACCCTCTGAATCAGAAGCAGTGGTTTATCAAGGTCCCCAGGGGATTCTCACATGCTGTGCGAGGGAAGCAAGATGGTGGCTCCCAGGCTATTGGGAGGATCAGACATCAATCTCTGGCTGGATTTGACATTTTCTTTTAACATCCACTTTCCCCCCCCTCCCGTTAACATTTAGCTAAGGATCTTAATCCCTTTTGATGTCGTAATCCTGCATCCCTAACCCTCCCAGCAAAGTCCTAGTGTATAAGGAGCAGAACTCAGAGGCACAAGGCAGGTGCATCCAAGGTCTTTGACCCGTAGGCTCTCACCTTAAAAAAAAGGCTAAGCTTCCTCCTAAGGGGTGAAATATTTTTTCTCTCACTGCAGAAGATCCATCCTGTGTAGATTTCTTCAGCTGGTGTCACCTAGTTCCTCAACATGGTGTCTGCAACCACAAATTTTATGGTCAACAGTGCTGCAAGTCATGCACGAGAAAGAGCTGATCTAGACACCCTCCCCAACACCCGAGGGCCAGGCTGTTCCCTCTCGCCTCTGGAGAGACCAGCGACGATTCACACTGAAAGCTTAACCCTGCAGACCAGCCATGCACTGCAGCAGAATCTGTGGGGCTGGCTCTCGAGGACAGACAGGCTCCCTTATCCACTTCCCCAAAGCACATGGTACTCTGAAGCACTTGAAAACGGGAAGCGAGCACAAAATGGACTTCCAAAAGACAAGATAACTTTGATTTGCACTGTTACAATGAAAGAAGTGATGAATCACACTGACAGATGTCACGTTTTCATTTTGACAAAGTGAGAATCTGGTCAATGTTGGGAGAGACTCTCCCTTTGAACTTCAAGGGTTCCATGGCAAAGACTCTGTGTCGAAAAGGTCCTTGAAGACTTCGGGTCAAAGACGGAGCCTTGGAGCCATCAAATGTGGATGGAACCCATTGCCTGACCGTTACTTGGAGCTCCCAGTGTGCCTGACACTGTGGACAGCCCAGAGTAGCAGTTACCCAGGAAGCCAAATGGTGCTTATAACTGTGCTTGCTGCTGGACTAGCAAGCTTCATGTTATGTTTATCTAGTGTGCGTGTGTTGTTTTTATTATTTTGTTTAGAGTATATTCCGCTTCTGGAGAGTCTCCAAGACTAAAATTCACAACTTGAAAAGTATTCCGAGGAATATTCTGAAAACAGGGCAACATGGACTATTTGAGATCTGCATTTAATTGAAACTCAGACTCCAAAAAAAAGCCCACAAACTCACATAAAAGGCAAATGTTGATGTCCTACACGGTATATCAACCTCGTAACTTTTGGTGCTAGCTAAACAAGTCCACGGGAGCCTCTAGTCTGCTCTTTGGGAGTCAGAATTGGTAAAATGTTCATTTGTGGTAAAAAATCCAGGAGGAGCTAAATAGCAAAATAGCAGTGTTTTGAAGGAGAGTAGACCATCATTTATAAGGCTCCCTACATATTGTCAGAGCTGCTTGGAAAATTAAAGACCACTTGTGGTTTTTTCCTACCAACTGTCATGTTTAAATTTTCCCTAAGATTTAGTTAACAAGAAAAAAAGAGTGGCAATAGAAAAACCCATCTTGCTAAGTTAATATTAATATATCATAATAAGCCAAGATCCTTCGATGAATAAGAATATTTTATAATCTTTCAGATATTTTCAGTCATCACAAGCCAGCTGTTGATAGGCACTAATGAGCTTAAAATTGTTCTCAATTGGAAAATACCACACTATTTTGCCAAAACCAGAGTAACTTACAAGACTGAGTCCCTCTGTAATTTTTTGAGATGTGGTTAAAAAGGGCATATTTATATAATTCTACTCTATTTCTCAATTCCTTTGATGAATGTAACCCAATTTTACTGCTTTATAAAGTCTCAATTCAAACAGGGATTTGCCAGCTCAGCACAACCAACTAGACAGTGGTTTGTTAAATTTAGAGCATCCTTTGTTCCCATTCTAATTAAAATCATGTGTTCTTGAATCTCAGAGAAATAATTAGAATAGTCTCTCAATCCACTTGGCTTGGCCTAGAGTAGTGGCCATTTTATATCAGAAACACAGCTCCACATCACCCACCTCTCTGCCCTCTGAAAAATTGCAAGTTATTTGTTTCTTTATATAATGATCATTTTATTATTTTATGGAAAAATTAATTTATTAATAGCCTATTCTTATGTGTTCTCACTTGCTTCTGTAAGTGATATTAATTCTGAGGAAAAATCTTGAATAAAACAATGGGTTATAGAGAAAAGTCAAAATATATGTGTAATATTTAATTATTTTATAAGTTTTATAATAAAGTGTTCTGTTTCTTTATCTGTGAAATTTGTTAAGTTCTTGAATAAGGTAGAGGTCAGTTACTTCCAAGATCATTTAACTGTATAAATGTTGAATAGGAATCTCAGTACTTTCTCAATGAAAAGTTGGGAAGATAAAATACTCATTGGTTTTTCTTGCTTGTGTCTGAGAAAATTAGAAACCACCAAAAGTCAGGGTGAGATGGAGGATGTATTTAGCATCTTACAGAGATACAGAGTTATTTTTTCCTGCTCTAATGCTTTGTCAACATTTATGGAAATCATCCAAGTTAGATAAACCTACCATAAGCGTAGTTGGCTTTCTCCTTTATTTTTTCCATTTGAATGGCATTCTGGTGAAATCCTTTTGCAAAAAGAAAGAGGGGAGGGAGAAAAGGAAGAAAAAACAAATTAAAAAGCAATTGTTTCAGGTTTTCCAAATTTGGAATCATCACACCAGTAGGGAATAAAAACAATCTGGGCAAAGTCAGTCCAGTTGACCTGAATATATATTTTCCCCTCCACATGTACTTATATATATGTACATGAATATGTCCTGTGTGTGTGTGTGTGTGTGTATGTGTATATATGTGGATCATTTATGCATGCAGGTCTTTAAAATATATTTAAGAGGATTTTTATATGAATTGCTCTTTGGCAAAAAAAAAAAAACTGGTTAAGAATGAAAAATAGAATAGATGGTACAAAAAATAGCAGAAGAGAAGGTATCCTTGTGCCTTTTGGTGATAAAATGTTAATGACAGCCATCATATATTTAGTGTTTGGTGTTTAATGGGTGCCAGAGAGGGTGCCAAGTTCTTCATGTATGTTACTTCTTCTAATCCTCTCAAGACTCTAGTTAGAAAGATACTATTTTTTTTTTTAAAGATTTTATTTATTTGACAGAGAGCGAGAGCACAAGTAGGCAGAGCGGCAGGCCGAGAGAGAGGGAGAAGCAGGCTCTCCGCTGAGCAGGGAGCCCGATAAGGAGCTTGATCCCAGGACCCTGAGATCATGACCTGAGCCAAAGGCAGCCGCTTAACCGACTGAGCCACCCGAGCGCCCCAGAAAGATACTATTTTTTTCCCTTTGCAGATGAGGACTCTGGGATTCTGAGAGATCACATATTTTGTCTGAGGTAGCCATAAAAGTGAGCTCCATAAATAATATAAGCATTTAAATTGTTCATTTTAGTTGAAAATAGTCACTATAAGTGGTTTACACAATTCATCTGGAAAAAAACTCCCCAGTGAGAATAGGGGAGCTGTTCAGAGCTCCTCAGGAATAATCAGTTTTGCATCACTAAGCTTAAGACAAAGATGGAATTTTCTCATCAGTAAGATGATTTTTATCTTTAGTCCTAAGTTACATTTGTGTATAGAAAAGGAAAATTGTGTCTATTTAATTGTACTTTTCTGGATAGACATTGAGTATCCAGGTATAAGTGACTTTGGTTCAAATTGCCATGTACTGAGAAACCATCAGGAGCAATATCCAGAATGTGTTTTTCTGAATGTGTTCAGTTATTTGTTTCTGCCAAGTAATGGCTAACTGCCTTACCCCTGCACACAACCACCATCCTGTTCGAACATTATGAAGCCATACGTCCCAGGTATGGTTGTTTCCCTAAATTCTGTTTAGTGAGGGGCAGAGTTGAGTTCACAATCAGGTCATTTAGTAACAAGAAGTGATTTATATAATTGTTCGTTGTTTTAATGGATAAAGAGGTTCAAAATTGTTCCTAGCATCCTAACTGGGATGAGAAAGAGGCACTAATGTCTAGGAAAAGGAAACCCTAGGGGCCATGTCTCCCCAAACCCCCTGTTTCTTTCCACCCCTCTTCCCTTCTTCCCTGCATCGCCTTGGCCCCCCCCTTTCAAGTTGTCTTGGCCCTGTACAAGTTAGGACATCACCTGACACATGCCCTTACCACATGTCAGAAAACACCGGGTGAATACTCGGTGCTCCTTACCCCTCCATCTTACCGCTCATGGGCTTTCTAAACCAAGTGCTCAGTACAGAGTGGCACTGTATAAAGTTAACCGTCAGAGCCCTTGAGAGATGGTCTTTGAAGGTGAACCAGGGCCAGAGGCTGTTCATGCTGGAGACAAGGCCCAGACATGTCTCTCCCGCTGATTCCCCTCCTGTCTCTCCTTTTAGTGGCTGGAGCACAGGAAGGACCAGGCAGCCCCCTCTTGTCAGAAGGCCAAGCCAGCTCTTCTGTTGCTCTGCGAGCTCCTCCTCTGTTTCTGCAGACTCATTCCATCCACCGTGGGGCTCAGTATCTCCCCTTCCTTGGAAAGAAGGTTCTCTCTACCCTGCCCCATCGCTTTTGAAAGCCAGGTTGGATCTAGAGTAAGTCTCGGGACAACAGTTTCTAAATAATTAGCTGCATGAACAATCACTTAAGGATATTTTATACATTCCTAGGCCCCACTCCAGAAATGTAATTAATTAATTCTGGGAGTAGGGCCTGGGAACTTAGAGTTTAAAAGGCATTCAAGTTTCTCGGAGGAAAAGCTAGTTTTGGAACCGCTGGTCTAGGGCAAATAAAGAAAGTACCTCGAGTCTGTCTTCCTTGTGTAGGTGAAGGAGTTCCCTTGGCACCAGGCCCTCTGGTACAGCTCTGCTGGGGTCTGAACCAAACTCAGCCAGTAATAATGAGGGGTTTGCCTGTTCTCATCCTCTGTATGGAATTAACCTGGGACACTCTTGGGGCTGTCGCAATAAGGCGTCAAGAAGAGGACTCACAGGCAAGGACCAGTGCCCTGGGCCATCTTTGTCTCGGTTTCTTATTTCCAACCATGCCAGTAGCCAACAGCAGGGTTTGGTGGGCAGGCAGTGGAAATGTTTGAGGGCAATTGGCCATTCCTCTCAGTCAAGCACCCACATGCAAGAATTAGTATACTGTGTTGTTTTTTTTTAAAAAAAAGAAAGGGCCTTCAATAGAGAAGCCATTGAAATCCCCATCGGAGAGTGTCTTTTGGCAAATTACTCCAGGGCCTTGTGTGTGCATTGAGAAACCCACAGTACATGAAAAAAAAAACAAAAAAAACAAAAAAAACAAACTGTTGTGTTCCTGAGATCCAGAGTCAAGGCAGAATAAAGGCTTCCATCCTATTTCCTGCCGGGACACTGGGTGCCAAGAGGTGAATTAATCACTTTTATGAATCGGGCCACTGTCACTTGCTTACAAATGGCCAGAAATGCATTGGTTGACTCGAGAGAATGAAAATTGTAACTTCAAGCTTTTGTACAACAGAAGAAAAAGAAACAAAGGCTTTGAAAAGATAGGGAAGAGCAGCTACACTGATGCTTTGGCCACACTAAAGTATAAACAAGGTAATTTCATGTTGTGCTGTTCTGGGACTCTGATTTTTCTCATTCGGTGGCTCATTTCATTAATTTACAGGGGTTTTTTTTAATATATATATTGGCCCCAGATACTTAAAATGAACATGTCTGTCTATTTATGTATCTGCATGGTCCTAAACCAATGAAGGCCTGATTGTTATTGTACTCAGCAATTTTTCCCCTTTGTTAGGATGCCCACATTGTCTAGGGCTTTTATTACTTGCAGATAGGTCTACAGAGGGGGCAAACATTTCACATTTTCTTAGAGGTTAGCATTTGCTTTCATGCTAAAAGTCTCTCTGACACACACACAGTCACAATCAGCCTTTCATGAGCTCTGCCTACACTAACGTTTTTTTTTTTCTGCATTCTTGCTATCCAAAATACATTCGTTCTTTCAACCAGCATTTATAGAACACCAACCACACTCTGAGATCCAAACACTGAAACAAATCTTATTCCTGACCCCAAGGGACTGGGATTTGAAAATTCGGGATGCATATCCATGCAATCGGGCAATGGTCCAAGGTCATACAGTCCTGAGATTTTTTTTTTTTTTTAATTCCTCACTGTTACATCCACTCCAGTCAATATTTGATAACGTGTGTTTTTCGGCTTGTATTATTGTCACATATGATAAGATCACATATGCAAGTGAGGATCATGCAGACTGCATACTTCTTTTCCCCTTCAAAAATAGTAAAGTCACAAAATTATAGCATTAAGCAGAGAGTGGCCCATTTGCAAATTATTGTATAGAAATTAAGAAATGGGGTGCCTGGGTGGCTCAGTCGGTTAAGTGTCTGCCTTCGGCTCAGGTCATGATCCCAGGGTCCTGGGATCGAGTCCCATGTCAGGCTCCCTGTTCAGTGGGGAGTCTCCTTCTCCCTCTACCCCTCCCCCCGATCATGCTCTCTCTCAAATAAACAAATAAAATCTTTAAAAAAAAAAATTAAGAAATGGAAGAGGATTTTGTTATTTCACTCTCCCCCTCACAGATACAGACAGAAATATTTGAGGGCCCTTCTTAAAATTACACAGTGAGTTAATGGTAAGTCTAGGTGTAAGGCCAGTTGTAATAATTTTCATGCAGGTATACTTTTCACTGGATTATAAAATATTTACTGATTTTTTTTTACTCGATAGGCAAACACTCTTATTGCGCTTCAGGACAATTTTAATGAATAGTAAGTTTCAAATAGAAACCTAATAAGAAACATTGCTGACTTCATGTGCTATCTATGGTATTAACTTAAATTCCCCTCCCCCAAAAGAAATACATACTCTGGTACCATAAAAAGCATAACAAATGTTGTCATATAACCTCTACATAGAGCAAAGGTGACCTCATGAAAGTACCAGTTTAAAAAAAAAAATCTGACCCTTTCCCTTCCCAACAGTCTGGTCTCCCAGGGAACCGAGCTATTGCTTTGCTTTGAGCCTGGAATTAAGAACAAGGTTGAAGGCCACAAACTCTGCAAATACACTAAAAACCACTAGACACTTTAAATGGGAAGATTTTATGGCACGTAAATTACATCTCAACAAAGCTGTTTGAATAAAATATATATATATATATGTATGTGTA